TCAGGGGGTTGGGGTGCCTTCCCCTGTCACAAACAGAGCAGGGTGGATAGGGAGGTGTGGCCCTGCCCCCTGTCACACACAGAGCCGCAGGGCGATCAGGGGGTTTGGGCGCTGCCCCCATAACGCTGATCCCGGTGCCGAGAGGCATATTACCCTTTTACTATATAGGGTAGAGGCCTGGTGCATGGGTGGGTGCCGGCTGGTTTGCCCTGAAGGGTGTCTTGGATCAGGGTGGGGGCCCCCACTGGGGTGCTTGCCCAGTCTGGGTGAGGGGCTGAGGGCTGTTTTCAGGCTGGGGGTGACTGAAGCTCCCAACCGCTCCTTTTTTTCTTTTTTTCTTTTTTTATTCTGGGCCAGCTTTAGCTTTGAGGCTTGGCTCCAGCTCTTAGGTTTCTGGCCTTTGCTTACAATGTTGCCATCCTGCTGGCTGAAGCCGGGTGGTATTTGTTACAGAGTTTCTTAAACTGCCCGCTCAGAAGTCTGCAGCCTCAGGCGGGAACGTTGGTTTCCTCCGTCACTGAGGCAACCAAGCCTCATGTTAGTTTCAAGCTGCCTGGCTGCCGGCCGCCATCTTGGCTGACAGTTAATTTGCATATCTTGCTGATTAGCCAGTGAAAAGGGTAGCGGTCGTACACCAATTAACATGTTTCTCTTTTATTAGTGTAGATTAGTGGCCTGTTGCACAAAGATTCACTCAATAGGCCTTCCTTCCCCTGGCTGCCGGCACCGGTTTTCCTCCGGCACCCGGGACCCAGGCCTTTGGTCCGGCCGCAGCAGCAAGGCTTGGCTTCTCTGCTCCGGCTGCTCCCAGTCCCTCCCTTTTTTTTTTTTTCCAGCTCCTTGAGTGGAGTCCAGGGCCGGTGGGAAGCTTGGCTTCCTCCGTCACCAGGAGCAACCCAACCTTCTTGCTCACTCCAACTCCGTGGCCGCCACCATCTTCATTCATCTTCCTTCATCTTCATTCACCAATCTTTGCTTCGCACCTGTGTATGCAAATTAACCACCATCTTTGTTGGGTTAATTTGCATAGTCGCTCTGATTGGCTGGTGGGTGTAGCGGAGAGACGGAGTTATGGAGTGATGGTTAATTTGCATGTTTCTCTTTTATTATATAGGAGTAGAGGCCTGGTGCCCTGGGGGAGTTGGGGTTCCTCAGCCTGGTCTGCTCCCTCTCGCAGTCCAGGACCCCCGGGGAATGTCCGACTGCCATGGAGGTGAGAGAGGCTCCCGCCACCACTGTTGCACTGGCCAGCCATGAACCCGGCTTCTAGCTGAGCAGCACTGACAACCAGCAGCACTGCCCATGTGTGTTTTGCTCGCAGAAACAGTCCTCACTTTTGCACATTCTAACCCGTTACTTTTACCTAGATCCAGAATTAGCTGCAATATTCATATTAAGTCCTCCCTGGAATGATAATCAGCTGGGCCCCTAGGAAGAGAAGAACCAGTTGCAGATTGTGACCCTTTTCCTATAAGAGCTTCACTGTAGAAGAAGAACAACATAGAAAAACATAAATAGGATGTAAACCACTGTCCCATCACTTTAAGCAATTAATCTTTGAACATATTTCTGTCCTGTCTCCTTTCTGTAACAGTTTAAGACAGGCCACTCTGGTCAGTGGCTGGTATCTCCCCACAGGGTCAGCACCTTCCTTCTTGCACCTCATACAGCTGTCACTAATGTAGTCTAGCTGTGTGCACAGAAAGAAGAGGCAACAGACTTTGGTGAGCACATTAGCCATTAAATTACTCATAAATACCATGGTGTCTGGAGCATTTTTAAGGTATCATTCCAATGCCTTGGTGTTTGAGATGTTTGCTTATATCCTTCCTTCCTTCCTTCCTTCCTTCCTTCCTTCCTTCCTTCCTTCCTTCCTTCCTTCCTTCCTTCCTTCCTTCCTTTCTTCTTTCCTTCCTTCCTACCTAATATCTGGTGAAATCCAATTTATCCTTCAAGATCAAATTAAGAGGACTTCTGCTTTTTGGTAGTTTCCTCCCATCTCAGAACACTGAATTCATACCAGTGTTTTAGTATTTGCACTTTATTGTAACTACCTATTATCATGTCTTTTTCTCTTTCCTTTTTTATGTCTCTTTCTTATTAAACTGTGAGTTGTCAGAAGCAGGAATCCTGAATAATTTGACTTTATAATGATAGTGCTTAGCACTTTACAGTTTCTTAGAAAAGGTGTTAAAGGAATTTTAAAGGAGTCCTCTAAAATCTCTTTCTCGATAACTCTCATCTGTGGGTCATGTAATGTATTTCACCTTTAGGCATTTCAAAGAACACACATAATAGTGATTAATGTTGATACTTATAAGACTGTCTTTTTCTTAGAAAAGGCTAGAGGCTTTGTTTATATTTGTTTTGAAGTGCTATTGTTTCACTATTTAGCAGTAAACTTCCACTCTGAAAATATCTTTGCTTAATTGAGTCAGTAGGTAAAAATCCAAGTTATTACAGAATAATAAAGTTAGAAGAGCCTGGAGAGGAAGATAATGGGAACAGCGAGTGGCATCACAGTGCAGCAGAAACACACAAACTCAGCACATCTGGTTTCAGTCAGGGCTTACTGTTTTTCAGTGGTGTTACTTCTCACAGGGTTGATCACTTATCTTCTCTGAGCCTCAACTCTTTCATCCATAAAATGGGACCACAGATCACATGGGGCTGTTGTATAAACACTTGAGATACCATGTGTATGAAGGCAGGCATCTTGAAAAGGGGCACACAATATGAGGAATTATTATTATGCCACAATGAATAGACTGCTGATACTATTCACTCTTCTACTTCGATTTCCTAGTAAGAAATACCAGCAATCCAAGATCAGCATTTTATGAGATTAGAATCTCAAAGAAAACAGTCTTTCCAAATGTGTTATTTCAGAAACAGTATCACAAGCAAATAGGAAGGAGGTTTTAATTATATAAATAAAATAAATGATAGATTTTTCTTAAAATCTGTGAAAAGCTGACAAGTTAAGTACTCTGAAATTGGAGCTGTACTTGAAATTTAAGTGCTAAGGGTAGAATCTGAATTGCTTAGATGTATAGAGGACAGACATTCTTGCTGCCTTTATTTAGGTTAAAGGGAAGCAGATAATAGACTCAAACAATGATGAAATGTATCTATGCCCTGAGGGTCCACCCTAAACCAGGAAGCAAGAATTATCAAATTTTCTTTAATAGTTGTTGATTTAGATTAGAATAGCCAGCACCATTAATATTAGTTCCTTTAATTCTCACACCAATTATATTGAGCAGGCATTATTTGCATTGTAGAGGAGGCCCTAAGTTTAACATTTATTGTCTATTGAATAAATGAGTGATTCTAAGATGGGCTCTTGTCCTGACTTTATTATAATTAGTCCTACCCTAAATTTTTTGAGTATGAATTTTCTTACCTCACAATGAGTAAATTGAGGTAATGATTCTTCAGATGCTGGCAGGTAGCTTTCGTTTTAGTCTCTGTCACTTGCCCCATGTCATAGTTTATTCACTGCTTTGAATCCCCAATCCAAATTGTCCAACAGTGAAATAAAACTCCAGGTGTAAGGATAGAGACAAACGTAAAAAATTATTGGCATTTTCAGCCTTTTGCATGTCTGCACTCCAACTTTCTGTACATTTTTTAAAACCTAAAACATGGATGATAAATAATGGAAGAAGAAAGGCCAAATAGGTAACAATTAACAATTTTACATATGTTTAGAAAGCATTTTATAGCTTAGATATCACACAAATAATTAATATCCATCTTGGAGTTGTTGCAATAAATGTTGGTGGTAAGAATAAAGCATTAGTACATGGATTTGTACTTTACTGGATTTTCACATCAGTACATCTTTCAGTACAGTGAAGATAACTGGGGAATGAACATGCAAGTTTTGTTGAACTAATTCTTATAAACTATTCAGGACAGGAGAAACTCTTGGCCAACCATTTTAAGAATCTGTAAACATAAAGGAAGAACATCCCTGCTCTCATCTCTGCCCAATAGCCATAGTGGACATCATCATCATCATTTCTAAATCTTCTGTAATAGTCTTTCTATTTTTAACACTTTGATTCAAGATGTTGGAGTGTGATATTGGAAATGGTCCAAGTCATCATATAGCAAAGGAAAATATAACACATGCCCTCTTACTTACACAGCACAAAGCAATTTACATCTGACATCTGGTCTTTCTTCTTTCTTCACTTACTTTGGACTCTTGGTCACCTGAAGTGTCTTTCATATGGCTCTTGATTCCATTGCATTGCTAGAATCCTGGCTCACCCACTGATTAAAACACCAGCCCAGTGTCAATGCTACTGATTTAACTTCTCCGTTTGATATCTAGCTAGTTGTAGTGCTGGTAAGAAAAACATTATTCAAACTCCTTGACTGGAACACAAGCCCCTTCACCTTCTGGACCCCTGTATTCAATAGATGTGTTTCATTTTCTATCTCAAACATTATAAATATTCCAGAAATACACAAGTGCCAGGAGCTCCTTATGCCACTTTAATGTGAGGAACCTCTTTTAGCTGAGTATGTCCTAGTCTGTGTCGCCACCTCTGCTCTGGAATTCTTCCTCTCAGGCTATATGAGAGGTGGCATTTGTACCCTGATGGTGCACTTTCTACAGTTGCTTTATCTTTCATTTTTGATGTGCTTTTGTCTCTCATTTTATTTCACTATAAGCTCCATAAGAGGGAGGCTCTATGTAGTTATCATTTTGATAAATATACAACTGATACATAGTGACTTCTTGCAATTGTTAAATGAAGTAGCGTGTGTTGTACACATGGATTTCTAAAGCCTGATAGACGATGCATGTGAATCAAGTGCTGTGTCCAAGGTGAGACACAAAACTACTGATAAAACCAGGTATAAAACCCAGGTCTCCTAATAGCCGTGTCCAATGCTCTTTCCTTTACAGTGCGAACACGATTGGATTGTCTTTGTTGATGTCTAAATTGCATTTAAAGGACTTTGTGTTTTCTGCTTTACAGAGTGGGCAAATGGGATCAAAGGGGCCTCCAGCTAGTCCACCCTCATTCCGCCCTGAAGATGAACTAGAGCACCTGACCAAGAAGATGCTGTATGACATGGAAAATCCACCTGCCGACGAATACTTTGGTGAGTGGTCCCAGAGCTGACTTCTGAAGTAAATGTCCTGTCCTATTTTCCTTAATTAGTAAGTAGGAGTATTATCAGCTCCAGTGGTAAAGGACTAGAGTCTGCATCCATTGGAGTCGGTATCCATGTGCACACATCTGAGTGTTCTGGAAGTTGCTTTGTGAGAGACTGCCATAATGTGATACCTGTTTGGCTTGTCCTAAAATCTCAGGGGTACTTCAGAGTTTCGTGAGATACATTTGATTTAAAACTTAATTTTTGATCATTTATTAGCTTTTTATTATGCAGAAATAGGGCTTTTGTGTGTATTCAGGTCTAAATATTAATATACAAAATGTGGAATTGCGCAGTATCTAAACTCTGTGCTCTCAATCCTTTCCCTATCCAATTTCAAGGAAAGGATGCTCCCTTTATATATTTTTTAACTTCTCCCCTGTCTAAGCCTGTGAATAATTATGAACAATTAATCCATCTGTCCATTCATTTAATGTGAATTTATGAATTACATGCCAATTATGAGGTGTTATGGATACATAACTTGTCTTCCAAGAGGTTGTAGTTATTCAGAAGAGATAAGAAAAGCACAAATAATTACTAATGTAGCTAAAATTATTAAGAGGCATGAGAGATGCTTGCTTAGGTCAAATGTTATAAAAATTTAAAAGTTCTATTCATTGCCCTGACCGGTTTGGCTCAGTGGATAGAGCGTCGGCCTGCGGACTGAAAGGTCCCAGGTTCTATTCCGGTCAAGGGCATGTACCTTGGTTGCGGGCACATCCCCGGTGGGTGTGCAGGAGGCAGCTGGTCGATGTTTCTCTCTCATTGATGTTTCTAACTCTCTATCCCTCTCCCTTCCTCTCTGTAAAAAATCAATAAAATATATTAAAATAATAAAAAAAAAAAGCTCTGTTCTTCAGGAATGCTTTATGGAAGAATTGGTGGCACTTGAACCTGGACCCTAAAGCATACCTCTCAGGTTTTTTTGTTATGAAAGACTCCTGCCCAGTCTGTTGGAGATCAGTATTTTTATAGAGTATAATTAAAATTAGTTACTAAGAAAATGAAATTTAAAAAAATACAAAATGGAAGACCCACGTTTTACCATTATCAAACTTAACAAGGATAAATTACTCTATTAAATTGCTGTAATTTTTTCTAAATACTCTCTATATTTGTCTCATCACAGGGTGACAAACATTCCTTAGTCAGACACCCACCCGTTGACCTCATTTTCAGTAGTGCTGCTTTTTTTAAAAATATATTTTATTGATTTTTTACAGAGAGGAAAGGAGAAGGATAGAGAATTAGAAACATTGATGAGAGAGAAACATTGATCATCTACCTCCTGCACACTCCCTATTGGGGATGTGCCACAACCAAGATACATGCCCTTGACTGGAATCGAACCTGGGACCCCTGAGTCTGCAGGCTGACGCTCTATCCACTGAGCCAAACTTGTTAGGGTTCAATAGTGCTGCTTTAATTACATATGGAGAAAAGACATTTGGGGGCATTGGGAAGGCACCGAGGTGGGAAATTGCACTATGCACAGGGCAATTTGTACTTCTTCAAGTTTTTCCAATTTGCATGTCTTCCCATTTCCTTCTTATTGGGGACTATGTATTAAAAAATAAACAGAAAACACCAGTTCAAAACCACATGGTAGGTGGACTGGGTTAGGATGTGAAAATCATGACATTTATTTGTAATCAGAAGATAGCATAGCTTAGCTAAAAGCACAATAGTGAGAACGTACAGGGGTGGGCAAACTTTTTGACTCCAGGGCCACAATGGGTTCTTAAACTGGACCAGAAGGCCGGAACAAAAGCATGGATGGAGTGTTTGTGTGAACTAATATAAATTCAAAGTAAACATCATTACATAAAAGGGTACGGTCTTTTATTTCAATAGTTTTATTCATTTCAAATGGGCCGTAGTTTGCCCACGGCTGACTTAGAATTTAGGTTCTGTCCCTCTCTTCCCCTCGCTGACTAACAAATATTCTCATGTTCCTCATCCATCTGAGCCCCATTTTCCACTTTGATAAATCAAAGTGGAAAAGGTCTGGCATTTCTTTCAATACTAGTAAGATAATATGGAAACAGCATCAACCCAAATAAATGTAACATAGCTAAAAGCTAAATATAAGTTGATATAGGTTAACACAAAGGCATGGAAAACAGTAAAAAAAAGTCTCTACTTATTTTAAAATATACTGTAAGTATGTTATGTTCTTGTCATTGATGTGAAAGAAGGATATATATTGAAATAAGATAAACTTTTTAAGAAAGCATGTTAAAAGTGAAAAGTATGTTCTCTGTATTGAAGTATATTAAAAATGAAAAATAATAATACCAAATATATATGCTTCAAATATCATAGCAAAAACTACCTAGCCATAAGGAAAAATATGTTAATGAATATATATATATGTGTGTGTGTGTGTGTGTGTATATATATATATATATATATATATATATATACACACACATATATATATATATATATATCACTTTGGGAAACATATAAATTAACTATTATATTTACGTTCAAGACTATCCTAGCTCTACTACTTACTAGCTTAGACAACTTCAAAACTTATTAATCTCTCTAAATATTTGTTTTTGTTTTGCTTTATCTTTAATATGGAAATAGTAGTTAGCTTATACTGTTATCACATTGAATGAAATATTTATAGAAAGCACTTAGCCATGTTCTTTGAATGTAAAATATGCTCAATAATCAAGTTATCCCATAGTTTAAGAAAACAAGATATGCCCCTTAAAATTAATTAATACTTGATTTAAATTTAGGTTCCTATAAAAAACAGAACATATGTCATGCATTGGTAAATAATCATTACCAAATGATCTTTATAAACTATGATAAAAATGTGGAATGATGATGAACTTTTATTGAGTGTTTATGATATGGCAATACTATTTTATGTACTTTATATGTATTAACTCATTTAACCCATATTGAAAAAATATAACCCTGTAAAATAAATGCTATTACTATTTCCATATTAGGAAATTGAGACACAGGAATATTAAGTAATCTACCCATATCAACAACTAGTCAGTTTTGTGACTGGATTAGAATCCAGGCTCCAGGTCTATACATTTTGTTATTTCTAAAAGATTTTCCCCCAGCTTTCTTGAGGTATACCAAAAAACTGCACATGCTTAATGTATGCAATTTGGTGGGTTTGGACCTACGTATTCATTTTCACTGCCATCACCACAATTCAGGTTTTGACCATATTGGCACCTCCAAAGGTTTAGGATAGAAATTTAGAAAGGTTTCATGGAGAATATCAGCTTTGGACAGATGGAAAATAACAGAGGATATTCTCTTTTAAGTAGATAGAATGAACAAAATACGACTTGAGGCCAGTATTATTCAAGGAAAGTTTGCTTTATGTGGAAAACATACATTAAGTACCTATTAGATGCAAGTTATCCTTCTAGATGTTAGAGACATATGGAGACAGGCAAACATGAGTCTTACTTTAAAGGTGCTTATAGTCTAAAAGGGGATGGGCACAGAGTTATGGTGTTTAATCATAATTCAAGATAAAAAGTGACAAGTGAGTTCAAAGTTCTTTGAGAATTCAGAAAAAAGAAAGGACATCCTGAGGCAAGAATGGAAAAGCTTTTGTGGAGTAGTTAGCCTTTGAATCAAGTCTTTAAAAGTATGCTAATAGAGATTTGCAAGTGGGATAACATTATAGAAATGAGGTCATTTCTGATTATGGGAATTTTTAACATGAAGGGTTTAAAACCAGTGAAGAGAATCACCTATGTTGGAAGGAATAAATATTGGGAAATAAGATTGGAGAAATAAGTTGAGAGCAATACAGAGAGGACTTTTATTATTTTGTGTTTATAATTTAATTTTTTAATTACAGTTGACATTCAGTATTATTTTATATTAGTTTGAGGTGTATATCATAGTAGTTAGACAATTATATAATTTACAAAGTTATCCCCTCTATAATTCTAACACCTGGCACCATACATAGTTATTATAATATTATAGACTATATCCCCTATGCTGTACTTTACATCCCTTTGACTATTTTGTAACTACCAATTTGTACTTCATAATCTCTTCACTTTTTCACCTACCCTACAACCCCTCTTTCATCTAGAAACCCTCAGTTTGTTCACTGTATCTATGAGTCTATTTCTGTTTTGTTTGTTGATTTTGTTCTTTAGATTCCACATCTAAGTAAAATTATATAGTACTTGTCTTTTACTGTCTGACTTATTTCACTTAGTATAATACCATTTATGTCTATCCATGTTGTGGAAAATGGTAAGCTTTCATACTTTTTTATGGCCAAGTAATATTGCAATTTATATATGTACCACATCTTCTTTGTGTACTTGTCTATTGACGGGCACTTGGGTTGCTTCCATATCTTATCTATTGTAAATAATGTGCAATGAACATAAGAGAGCATATGTTCTTCCAAATTAGTGTTTTAGATTTTCTTGGATATATACCCAGAATCGGAATTGCTCTGTCATAAAGTAGTTCTGTTTAAAAAAAAAAAAAAAAAAAATTGCAAAACCTCCATACTGTGGAGAGTAGTTTTAATGCCTGAGTAAAGGCTAGTGATTTTATCTTACATAATGAACCTTTGCACATTGAGGTCAAATGCTGTGGGAACTGTTCTGTCAATAGTGGTTAAGAATGTGGGTTCCAAAGCCAGAATGTCTTGATTTGAATGTCAGCTCTACCTCTTAAAAGCAGAAAGCAAAGGATGAGTTAACGAAACTATCATTTACTATTCCACTCTAAACATTAAACATTTCCTGAGAAATTTTCCATGCCCGCAGATGTGCTGGCTGTCAGGGACATCTAGATGCAAAGAGAATTTCTGCCCTCACTTGGTTCATGAGTTCCTGGGAAGGACAGGAGAAAGGCAAAGATGTCAGTGCAGATTATCAGCACTTTGTTGGGTCTGCCTGGCCTATGTGAGAGTAGAC